AGTTGGCACATTAATTCATTGGTGGATTGGAACTCACAAAATCTTTATCCACCAATGAATTAATGTGCCAACTCATCGGTGCTTAGGATAAGATGAGCACCGGTGCTCATTAGATCATTTCTGTATATATATATATATAATTTATTTATTTAATCTTCCCCTCTCTCCCTACCACCACCACCATCACCCACCTCGTCGCCGTGGCCTTTACCCACCATCCCAGGATGATGGTCGGGAATCAATTCCAAACCAAATAATTACAATCATGAAAATTAGAACATTCCAGGATGATCCAAAAATAGATCCCTAATATTCAAATCAATTCCAGACCATTTTCTAAAATGACTAATCTTCTCTACCTCCACCATATCTTCTCCACAGTCAAGCTCAATCGTGCACAATGCCCACAGCCCGCTTCCCCACTCCCAGCATTCCACTCTTACTCCTCTTCTTCTCCACAACCCTCGTTTTATTATATTTTTTTATGCACGTATGCATTCATAATATGGGTTTAATGTTAGCAATGTTACATGAAAACTTGGGGTGTCGTTGGTGACATCATCACAGAAATGATATTCGTGCATTTTAAAATTCTTCGTCAATCTCTGCCATTCTTTTTCTTCTGCTTCTCTTTGATTTATTAAACAAGATTTTTTAGCCAGGTTTATTGCAGAAATTGTTGGTGTTATTTATTTTAAAGAATTTGGGATAAAAGTTTTTGTAGTCGTTGTTTAGGGCACAGGTCTTGAGGCTAAATCTGTTGAATGGGGACAGTATTTTGGGATGTTTCTCCATGGAAGTGGTCGCACTGGAGAAGCGAGGTGGCCGGTGGTGGTGCAAGCTTACGTGTTTTGGCCAAGATTTCTCCCTCCAATGATGTTGTTTGGCTCGCTGGTTGATTGGAGTGTGTTTGTGGGACGAGATTGCAAGTGTGGATGGTGGCGAGAGGGTGGTGGAATGAGTTGAAGAAACTGGCAGCTCCATATGGGTGAAGTCAATTTTTTTTCTTTAGTTTTAATTTTTTTAATTATTTATTTGGGACTCATTTGTAATTTTTTAAAAATTTTGGGATCATGTTTGTAATTAATTTTTTTTCTTCTTTTCTTTTTGTTTTATTTAAATGGAAGGGCATATTCATCATTTTACAATATATTTTTTTTTTTTTGCATGAGGTATTCCACACTAAACGTTGTGCGCTCTTTTCAAAAGTAGAAGTTTTTCGACCGTCTAACCAATGGATAGGGGGTAATGTTGTTTAGCCCTAAATTAAACAAGATAAAAGACAAATATCTCACACGTGTATTTGGTGAATACCTTTGTCGAACGGATTTGATATACATATACTTCAAGATGTTTCTCGAGATCATTCAATCCATCAAACGTCGTAGTGCTAGCTCCTCCTCCGGATATGTATCTACACAATTTTTATTTTATTATTTTAGTAGGAATTGCACCTAATAATTAAGAAATATGTCATGATTAATTTCATGCTATTTATTAAGTAATACAAAAATTCAAATTGTAACTTTTATTTTTTAAATGTCTTCAAATTAATTAGGACATGAGAGTGAAAAATTACCAATAAAATTTAATTACCTCAGCCCTCTCTGAAGCACATCAATCTCACGCTTCAGCCTGCTAATCTCCTCCTTTAGATCCTAGAGGAAATTGTGAAGTTTATGATTTAGATATATTCAATAAATAATTCGAGTTTTTATTTTTTATAACATCATGCTTCTTAGGTAACTTTAATTTCAAGGATAATCTTTTCATATTTTACTATATTGAATGATAATTTTATTTTGAAACCATTTACTAGTACTTTGCTTTTTTCTCCTTGATGCTCAAAATTATTGTGAAATAACCTCGAAATATGTAAAAGAAGATGGAACATGTTTTTAGTTCTTTTAGTACATGTATGATACACAGTACTAACGGAATTAATAGTAAATAAATAAAACATACCAATACCGTGTTGCCTCTTTTATTGCTAATATAATTGGAAACCCATAGATTCCAACATTAATTATGTTTCTTTTGATTAGAGCAAAGAACAGTTCAACATACCATAATTTGCTTATCTCTAGGTTGTTGAGTTTGAACTCCGGACCAGCTACACTTGATGTACCTCTCAATCAAATCCTGCATGCTTCTTCCATTTTCAAACACAAAAAATTGAGTCCTAGATAGCTACAAATCATAAAACTACATGTCTCAACTTGTTACATGCACAAACAATATTCCATAGCTCGTCCGGATGCATGTAAATTAGATAGGCACATCGATACAAAGACAAAAAGGCATACACTTGCAAAAGGCACGAGTTCTACTTCTTGCATATTTCATCTAAAGGCTAATATGTTTATTTTCTTAAATTTATAGTTAAATATGCTCAATCACATATATGCAGATGGAATTTATTACGTATTTATTGAAAATCTGATATGTACGCAATTTTTTTAAAATCAGTAGCTACATGATTTGAACACATGCTCTAATAATAAGTTAAACCATGTCATAGCTTATGATATTAAGAAGAACAAATTCATTTTTTTTTTGTCATAATTTTTAGAAATTCGATAGCGGCCAGTTTTTAACTCAGAATCTATGTCCACTTTGATACTAAACTACCTCATAGCTAAAGATGTTCAATGGCCTTCAAACATGCAAGCACACACATGGATGGTAGAGAGAGAGAGAGAGAGAGAGAACCCTTTAGTAGCTAGTTCATAGAACTTCCCACGGGAGGAGAAAATGAAAACTCCAATCTCAGCATCACATAGCACAGAGAGCTCCTTAGCCTTCTTAAGAAGCCCAGCTCGGCGCTTGCAGAAGGTCACCTGCCGGTGCACCGGATTTTCAATTCTTTTCATTTGGATCTTTCCACGAGCCATCAATATTAGCTTAATCTTTTCTACTTATTTTCAACTTTCTACTCAATTTTGAGTGACTTCCTACTTATTTTGCTGCCTATGCAGACAACCTTCCACTAGTGTGAACTAGCTTCGAGGTCGTTGCACTCTCTCCTCACTCCTCAAAAAATCCTCCTTAAAACTCACAAACTTGTCCTAGGATAGATCCAACCTTATATACATACATTATTTGATTCTCTTTCCCATAAAGATATCACTTCTGCATATGAAGCCACCTTTACACTATCAATAAGAAACATTTTAAGATCAACATGCCACTAAAGGTGATGGATTGTGTTACCTAAAGATAACACATGGCTTTCACTAAGTCAAAGAGACGATTATACCCTGAAATGATGACGTGTTGGGGTGTCATTTGTCGGAGTTGTATGTATCATGACCTGTTCTATTTGGCCCTCTATAGAGATATAGAAATATAGTATACAAAGTGGCCATCCACAATGAAGGAGAAGGTTTTGTGTAGTACAGTCAAGAATTTAGTCAGTGTGCAATTAGATTGCACATGCATCCCTATAGATCTATAGATTAATTAATTAACCAATGAACTGCCCATGTTGAGCTGCTTTTCTTTGGCATAATTACTAGGATCTACCACTTTTTACTCCTAATAAGTACTAAATGACTTCATGTTTTGATCCTCGTGGGATTTTCATCACTACAATTGTTTAAGATATGCATACCATATGTGGTCAAAAAGATGATAAAACTTGTGGATCTCATAAAATATATGATTAAATTAATTATTACTTTAACTTAAAACTTTTAAAGAATTTAAACTGCACCAAGTAGGGGTTAAATATGATTAGACAATATAAGAAACAAGATTTAAAACACCTTTTTTTGTTTTTTTGTCCGTTCAATCTCTCTCACCAATTACCTATTAAGGGATAAATCACATATCGACTGAAAATGTAGACGGCAAACAATCTATAAAAGCGTGAATTATTTTTCTTAATAAGGTCTATATTTTAAAATGGTATCTCTAATCTTACTATGGCATCAGAATTCATTAAGATCAAATGAGTTACTTGACTCGACTATGACTCAAATGAACATAAAGAATGAAAATATTAATTAGCGCATAAATGAAAATATTAAAATAGAAGAGTTTGAATTATTCATGATAATAATGTTGACTTTTTAAGATGTAGTTCTAAGTTTTAATACAAACAAGTACATCTTATGTGTGAGAAAAAACCACGAGACAAACTAGTCATAGAAGCAAGGGCCGGCCCAAACTTTTTGTATTGTGAGGTAAAAAATTAATGCAATTTTTTTAAAAGAACAATGTAACATTAATAAAAATAAGTCAATATACTACTACAATTGTAGCATACATATTTTCATACTTTGTGAGAAATCAAGAATAGAAGTAAGGATTTTACTGGAAACTAATAAATTGAAATTTGAATGCAACAATTCGTTAATCTAAACATTCAATTTTTAAGACATTATCAGCCAAAGAAGAAACTCAATTATGCGTAAGAGGCCAAATTTAGTTAAACTTTGAAATCGTCCAAATCTTGAACTCCAAAAAATCTTCCATCTAAAATGCTATTTTCAACGACACCCTCATCTTCCCAATCATATTCAACCCTCAAAATCATAAAAAAAAATCAAATATATAGTACAGAAAAAAAAGAAAAAGAAAAAGAAACATTTATTAATTTCAATCAAACATCATATGCAACAAACAAAATCCAATATTAGACATCCAAAGACTGCAAGGATACAACGCGTAAACTGTGATCTTAGCGATTTTTATTCTCGAAAATAGTCAAAAAGTATTTAGAACTGTAAAGACTTTTGTTGGATTTTATACGCAATAATAGAGAAGTGAAAGAGAGGAAATTAACTAAAGGATTTAATTTGGTTCAACAGTGTGCATACATCCACAAAAAGAGAAACGGAGATATTTTATTCAGTATGAATAATAATGTTAATTCATCAATATATATTAACCCTAGCCCTAGTTCATACAAGACTTCAGGGTCCGTACAAGAAGATACCCATGTACAATACAAGGGTATTGTACAGGAAAAATACCTCGTACAAGAAAATACCTCGTTCTGTTTGGTGTGCTCCGCTCCCCTCACTCCACTTCCCTCCATTTCGGCATCAACCTATTTCTTCCAGTAAATCAATATTTCACTCTATATTCACATACATAACAGTTCTTCTATGTTTGAAACCAAAATTCAATAATTCATTTCACTAGCTGTTTCTATATGATTTTCTTACTAATTAATGATTGACTGGGGACATCAATTCTCTTAGATTTTAGATATTGTTTTTGCCTATATATCAGGAAGAATTGAGGGTTTAAAGTTATATAATTGATAAACAAATGAAAAAAGAAAAGGCTGGGACAGCTTCCTCCACTCTCCTCTTTCACTTTTGAAAGTAAGAATCTTGTCAATTCGCAAAACCTATTTAGATATATATGCATCTCTACCAATATATATATAATAAATATTTGGTGTGGGGTGTGTGCTCTCTAATTTTAGATAAAATAACTAACGTAATATTAAATTTAGATAAGAGAGAGTTCGAGTATCATTATATAAAATTTTGCACCTGTCAAATATTGAACGGTATTGTAATCAAGATTTAAGATTTCTATAAAGTAGAAGTTACATCATAAAATGTCCATCAAATTAACAAGAGTAAGTAAAGATCCTTATATGCTTATTATTATTTTTGTGTAAAATTGTTACGAAAATTTATCATTAACACAGTCCTTCAAGATAGTGAATTGTTTGATCGAAACTAAATTCTAATTTGAGTTTTAGACTAATCGAATTGTTTGTTTAAACTTGTCATCCCATTAAAATGAGACTAGCCGAGGTGTCTAAAGTGGTACAACCGAGGCTCCCCAAATGGCTAGCCGACATGCCTAAAGAGGTACTAACCGACGTGCCTAAAGAGGTACAAATCGAGGTCCATGCTGAGGCCGAGGTCCATGCTGAGGCACTGCCTCAAAGACGAAGCTCTACAACCTTAAACTGAACTACTACCTAAGGATACAAAGAAAGGAGCTAAGGCTATTCACTTACAGGACCACCTCAAAGATCTCTCCGAGGCTCTCAACTCTTCCGAAGTTCAAGAAGCCGACGCTGTCTCATATAATAGATTTGAAGATCTTTTAGAAGTGATTGATGTGACGTCTGTAATAAAGTTTTGGCAATGTGTCAACCTATTGTATAGAGCGGCTGATCCCTTATAAATTCATTAATTGCATGAATGGACAATTATGTGACGTCCTAACAAAGGAGATGAGACCACGTGGTTCTGATTCAATGGTCACCACCTCGGCCAAGACAGCATAAATAGGATATCTTTGTAAAGAAAGGGGAGATCTTGGTAATCATACAATAAAGCACAAAAATAAACATTCACTCTCGTAAAACATAGAGAGATTGAAGAGAATTTACACATATTGTTCTTTACATATTTTGCAAACACAATAGTAAATTTATCAAGATTCCAACACAAAACTCCATTTTATTATATCTATCATTCCACATATTTCACTATAAAGGAGAGATTTATCCTTGATTATTTGGGCTTGGCGATCATTGATAGCGTGGTTGCCTTCAAATCACATCGTCGGAGTCCGAACATTTTTGTCTCTTGCCGAAAAGTGCCTCCCGCGTCCATTCCAGCTAGACTACCATTCCCGTTCCGGTAGAAAAGTGTCGATCCGTACTGACGTAGCAAGAGTGGGCCCGGCATCTGTTGAATTCATTTTTTGGGGTCAATAGATTGGTGCCGTCTATGTGAATCCATACATGTAACCACGAGAATCCTGTGGAAAGAAGCCATTGGAAGTGAGGTGGAAGGAATTTTCTAACCCTTGAAAAAAGAACAAATAGAAGCCCCAAGAAAAAACATTTGGAGAAGAGGTCAGTACTTAGAGCTAATATTCCATGAAAGAGTGAATATGCTAAGATAGAAATTCATTTGTAAGACCCCCTGAAAAAGAGAGGCCATTGAAGAATTGGCTTTAAATCGGACGACCTCTTGAAAAGGGGAAGCCGCCGAAAAAGCGGATGACCCCTAAAAGCTTCAGCAAATGAGCATCAAGTGCCTCATCCTTGCTAATGCTTCAGCAAGCAAGGGCCTCATCTTGCTTATGCTTCAGCATGCAAGGGTCTCATCATTGCCTCATCCTTCAGCACTTCGGGAAAAAGTGCCTCATCCTTCAGCACTTCATCAACAAGTACATCATGCTTCAGCACTTCCGAACAAAATGCATCATCCTTCAGCACTTCTGGACAAAGTGCCCCATCCTTTAGCACTTCTGGACAAAATGCCTCATACTTCAGCACTTCATCAACAAGTGCCTCATCCTTCAACACTTCATCCACAAGTGCTTCATCCTTCAGCACTTCGGGACAAAGTGTATCATCCTTTAGCACTTCATCAACAAGTGCCTCATCCTTCAGCACTTCAGGACAAAGTGCCCATCCTTCAGCAATTCATCCACAAGTGCCTCATCCTTCAGCACTTCCGGACAAAGTGCCTCATCTTTCAACACTTCCGGACAAAGGGCGTCATCCTTCAGCACTTCATCCACAAGTGCCTCATCCTTCAACACTTCGGGACAAAGTGCCTCATCCTTCAACACTTCATCAACAAATGCCTCATCCTTCAGCACTTCGGGACAAAGTGTCTCATCCTTCAGCATTTCATCAACAAATGCCTCATCCTTCAGCACTTTGACAAACAAAGACCACTTCCTTGCCTATGCTTCAGCATTTTAGCATGCAAAGACCTCATTCCTTGAAAAGGAATAGGAACTATTGTGAAAACCTCATTCCTAAAGGAAGATGTATTATCTTGAAAACCTCTTTTCTTGAAAAAGGATGAGGCACATGAAGACTTCATTCCTAAAGGAAGGGACACTATTTTGAAAACGTCTTTCCTTGAAAAAGGAATATGCGATCACTTGAAGACCT